CCCTGAGACCACTCCCATAATACACCCTTAGACCACTCTCATAACACACGCTTAGACCACTCTCATAAAACACCCTGAGACCACTCCCATAATACACCATTAGATCACTCTCATAATACACCCTTAGACCACTCTCATCACACACCCTTAGACCACTCTCATAATACACCCATAGACCACTCTCGTAACACACCCTGAGACCACTCCCATAGTACACCCTTAGACCACTCTCATAACACACGCTTAGACCACTCTCATATCACACCCTTAGACCCCTCTCATAAAACACCATTAGACCACTCTCATAACACGCACTTAGACCACTCTCATAACACACCCTGAGACCACTCTCATAATACACCCTTAGACTACTCTCATAATACACTCTTAGACCACTTTTATAACACCCTTAGACCACTCTCATAACACACCCTTAGACCACGCTCATAATACACCCTTAGACCACTCTCATAATACACCTTTAGACCACTCTTATAACACATACCTAGACCACTCTCATTGTATTCGCATAGGTTTCACTGTTTATGGTCTGGTTGAGTACACACTCATAACACACCTTTAGATAACGCTCATTATATTCGCACATGTTTAGCTGTTTATGGTTATATTATATGTCCTGGGAAGACATCTCAACGGCTGCAGTGATTATGTATGCTTATATTTATGTAGGGTATTCGAATATAGGTGTTGTTATAAATTACAGGTGTTGCAGACATACATATATATGTGTGTTTATTAATGCATTAGTGTTGTTGTAAGTTACAGGTGTTGAATACATATATGTGTGTATTGGTGCGTATATATATATATATATATATATATATATATATATATGTGTGTGTGTGTGTGTGTGTGCGTGTATTGCTGCATCGGTGTAGGTGTAACTGGCAATGCTCTACCTGCCACGGCAAGTGCTCGTATGACTGTGGCAAGCGATTGACAACTCGGCTGCTTTACATTTCCGCGAATCGAACAATATATATATACATGAAAAGCTTCTACACACACATCGTGCTGCCATTAAGACTCTACATACACAGATACACTGGCTTATAATGTAGCCATGCCTACAAAGTGGGGTCGACACATACAACGACTGCGTGCTCACAAGTGCACCGGCATATACTCGCAAGGTATACATTTACCGGTTCACTAAACCCTAAAAACCTGAAACCCTACACCCTGTACAAATGGCGTCGCTGACTTATACTTGCCTTATACCTACCCAGAAACCCCTTCGCGAGTGTCCACGCGTGTGCCCTTGCCAACGTGGCCGAGGGCTGTACAGGGATTGCTGCAGTGGGCTCGATGGAGCGAGCGGGTAGGAATGTCAGAGGTATACCCATCAGGATGTCACTCGACTACTTAGTCAAGGCCAGGGGAAAGCTCACGGCGACCGCATACGTATGTGTGGGTGGTACAGGGTGTTCAGAAGTTTTAGGGTTTACGGCGACCGTTTCGGTGTGTGTGGGTGGCAAAGCGTGTTTAGAAGTTTTAGGGTTGAGGGTTTACGGCGACAGTTTCGGTATGTGTGGGTAGCAAAGCGTTTTCAGGTGTTACCCTGGTCACCCCGAGTGTTTGTCCTGAGTACTTATGAGACTACAAGTGTCGCATGCACATTGTTGCGTGCTGATGCGTTACAATTGTAGCTTCTTTATTTATGAGGCTCGCCGCCATGTCCCTGCATGCCCTGCATCGTAATTTACCTACATATTATATATGTATGTAGACATACTATATATGTATGTAGACATACTATATATGTATGTAGACATACTTTATATGTATGTAGACATACTTTATATGTATGTAGACATAATTTATATGTATGTAGACATACTTTATATGTATGTAGACATACTTTTTATGTATGTAGACATCCTTTATATGTATGTAGACATCCTTTATATGTATGTAAACATACTTTATATGTATGTAGACATACTTTATATGTAAGTAGACATACTTTATATGTATGTAGACATACTTTATATGTATGTTGACATACTTTATATGTATGTAGACATACTTTATATGTATGTAGACATACTTTATATGTATGTAGACATACTTTATATGTATGTAAACATACTTCATATTCATGTAGACATAGTTTATATGTATGTAGACATACTTTATATGTATGTAGACATACTTTATATGTATATAGACATACTTTGTATGTATGTAGACGCCTGGGACAGCTGTCAACCGCAAAGCCGGTCCAGATTCTGGGCTGAAACGGACCTCGAACACCAACCAATGCCTTACTGTATACGTCCTGCTCACAAGAACGGGTGCATTGCCCGGGGATATCAGGACAATTCACAGTCAGGTGCGTGTTCTGACTGTAGTTTACATACTACACCGTCACGTGTACAGGCGTTTGATGTGCCTAAGGAGGTGGGACGCTATCAGTTGGTTTCACACGTGGACATCACAAACGAAGAGGTATGTAACTGTTTATACAAGTGCACAGATATTTACTTATTTATACTAAAGTATTATAAGCAAGTATTTAACTATTTATACTAAGGTATGTATAAATAGGTTGTTAATTATTTATACTAAAGTATTGTAAAGAGATATTTAACTGTTTATACTAAGGTGTCTAATTATTTATACTAAAGTATCATAAATAGATATCTAACTGTTTACTAAGGGGGTATGTACATAGGCCATACATTTTTAGGTATGTACATAGGCCATACATTTTTTATTTTAAAGTATTATAAATAGGTATTTAACTATTTATACTAAGGTATTTAATTATTTATGCTAAAGTATTATAAATAGGTATCTAACTATTTATACAAAGGTATTTATAAATAGGTATTTAACTATTTATACTAAGGTATGTATAAATAGGTATTCAACTATTTATACTGTAAGGTATGTATAAATAGGTATTTCACTTTTATCTACCTGTTCGTTATTTATACCAAGGTATGTATAAATAGGTATTCAACTATTTATACTGGAAGGTATGTATAAATAGGTATTTCACTTTTATCTACCTGTTCGTTGCTCATGGAATGCGCATGTCATGGTGATATAGCGACTGCTAGAGTGTACGCTGCATAGGACTCGCAGCTACTTCCCTTTGTCATACTACGCGTTCGTTTTGCACCTGATATCCTTGGGTTGATATGTATTCATTTGCTCATACCACTGTTGCTTAACTCTTTATCTCGTACTGCCTTTGTCATACTACGCGTTCGTTTTGCACCTGATATCCTTGGGTTGATATGTATTCATTTGCTCATACCACTGTTGCTTAACTCTTTATCTCGTACTGTCGGGGGAGGGGGCGGGTTCATCTAAGCGCTGATTCTCATACCATATGTATCTATTGGGTGTACATCTCTTTACCTACATATACGTATCTATTGGGTGAGAATTCTTTTTGTTTACATATACGTATCTATTGGGTGTATATCTCTTAAACTACACATTATGAATTGACCACATAAGTCGACTAATATCTCACGTTAATTCAATGGGAAGGGTGTCACAGTTACTACTTGCGATGTAACGTGGACTGTCAACGTCATGGAGCCAAAACCGAAGAAGAAAAAGAATTGAACCCAGCGAGGCTCTAATTCAAATATGTATAGCCAAATAAAATTATCCCGAAATGGTGAACCTGAAAGGAAGAATGAAATTATCCAAAATCACCTTCAATACTTCAAATCAAGTAGTTGTGTATACCAAGAGGACTGATGAATCCGAAACGAACATGAAAGGAAGAACGAAATTATCCAAAATCACCTCCAATTCTACTCCAAATCAAGTAGTTATTTATGCAAGTGTATAACGAGGTCTAATTATTCCGAAATGAACCGGAAAGGAAGAATGAATTTTTCCTTAAATCACCTTCAATTCTACTTTAAATCAAGTAGTTGTGTATGCAAGTGTATACCGAGGTCTAATTTATGCAAGTGCATACCAAGTGGTCTGCTACATCAATGCTCAACAAGTTTAGTTTATGTGCGTCTCAGGGCTTACACGGTCCATAGTATTTATTAGATATATATAACACATGACGTGACACCACAGGCACCGTTGCCTGCAACGGGATCACACTCATTTATAGTGATTCTCTAGAGCCATCTATCACTGTTTACTTTTACTTTTAGAGCTGTATCGCTCGTGTTTACTCCTATTTTTAAGACTGTATCACTCCAGGTGTAGGGTACGGACCGGTTGTTCTGCTACAAATGCACACACATAAACACTCTTTGAAGGCAGGCTGGCACACACTTTCAGTTCAAACGTAGAGTATGGTTCGAACTAGAAAGGGGAAACGGATAGAAGCTACCTCTAAGCTAGGTGGCTGAATCGAGAGGCGCGGTATAAACGGGTAGATACATATCTATTAATATTTATTTGTGATAGACCGAAGTTAACTGGAAGACCTACTTGACAGACATATTTATCAACACTTAATCGTTGTAGACTGGAGTTAACTGGACAGAAAATACATGATATGGAGAGCAAGGGATTCAATGTACCAGCAAGTAATAAATAATCCGCTCCCGGAAACGATAAGGGAGCCGTACAGGACATTAATTGCGGCTGGTAAGAATCGCGTTGGATGGTTAAACGAGGAAGATCTGATATATCAACTAGGTCAACACATAATACCTATCCTCGAGTACTTGTACCCCGATAAGAACATAGTCATCACTAATACGATTCAAGCACGGGTCATACAAGCATTGCTACCGGATACACTTCGTATCGAGAACATGAATGCTGGTCCGAGACCATACAAGAATACACAGAAAGGAGCATTAAAGAACAAGAGTACACAGAAAGGAGCATTGAATAATAATAAAATATTCTAAAACGATGCGGTTGGGTTTGAAAAGGTGAAATTGTTGGCTGTGAGAATGAGATACAATTAATGCATGTGTATGCTATTTCCAGGGGCGGGACAATAATAGTTGAGGAGCGTTGCAAGGATAAAAATATACCACCACCTAAGATCTGGGGATATAAGTTGACTACTGTAGAGCGCGCAGCGGAATCTCTGCGGGGATTGGGGTGTTAAATTGTTTTCTCCAACACGAACGAGAATTTAAAAGGAAACGAAATCACTGCTTGAAAAGACATGTGAGAGAAGTGTGATCAAATGTGTATTCTTTCCCAAATATCACTGTGCGTGTATCAAACCATATTGGAAGATACTAGAACCCGTGAACGCGTATTGTCGTAAACTGCCTTTATAATTAGGGTTGATTAACATTTTGGATGATATTCCTTTGGCTAGGATAAAACGCTTTACCTGACATTCATCTGTATTCTAAAGTCATGACAGGCGCTGCTGCCGCGTTTGCGCAAAGAAAGTATGCATCGCATAAAGGCACGTCGGATAGGGTGTACCTAATCATAGATCAATTCGTAGACGAATGTACATTGTAAGGAATAAAGCTATTTACCTTTATACTGTATGTGTACAGGAACCTGATATTGGACGATGTATAATAAAGAGTCTCTCTTTATAGTATTGCAAATATTTATATCAGTATCTATAAATGTATGTACTGAAAGCCCTCGACGTAGAGAACTTAAATCCGACGAGTTTAAACTTGAGGTCCACCCTCATTAATCTCATATCACATGGCAAAAAGGGCTGATTTTGAACATTTGGGCAAAATCCACTTTTGAAAATATTGATCGTTTTGAAATTAAAAAAGAATAGGACAGTGAGATATTAATAAAGCGCCAGTCTCAAAGACTCAAACAGTCAACCCCCGGAACCCGGCCAGAAATCCCAATTTGAGTAGATGATACTAGATAGTCGCGAAGTTGTATTTTAGTCGACGGTACTGGTAGGGTCCCGGAAAATACACCATTTTGATTGTGTGCACCATATAAAGCCAAAAATATGTGTGATCGCAAATTTGCAACACAGGGGAAAGCTTGAAAGCAGTATTCATATAGGTCCTTTCGAAATTACCGAAACATGAATAAATAAATCATGATGTAAAATTCTTTCTCTTCTTGTTTTATAGGAGGAGTATTCGTGTGGACACTTTTCTCAGACCTCAAGTAAGGGCTCAAGGCATCGCCATCAAGGCTATCGAAATATCGGTCCTCACTCACGCATGCCCATGACCACGTGTCACATGCCCATGTGGTCCTGCACTCCTTCCCACACGACACACATCCACATTCACATTCACACTCACACTCACAGTCTCACAAACCCACTATGTATCCACAAATAGGAATTTTTTATTTTGATTTGTTTCTAAAAATCAAAAAAATCAATTGAACATAGGGGGATGGGGCGTGGGCCGAGGGCTGTGGGGTCGTGGGCTTTATTTATATGCTGAACTCTGGGACTTGGGTCTTGAGAGTCTCAGACTCTCAGTAGTCAGTAGTGAGTAGTCAGTACTCTCAAATCCCAGTGCCCCAGTCTGTACTGTCTTGTGCATACCTTCTTTCAAATAAAAGTTGTCAAGGTATCTGCGGAGTATATATCTACTCCCAACATTTTTATACATTCATAAATTATGTATCATAAAAAATCAACAAACTATGTCCGGTCATAGGCTCATAGCCTTCTGAAAGCAAACAGGCTATGGTATGTACGGTTATATTTTTATAATTTCAATTTTTGGACTTGTGAATATAGGTTGTTCAGCGTATACGTTGAACGTAAATTTAGTTGTATAATAGCATTTATTATAAATACAATGATAGCAATGTATACATATTGAGGAAGAAAGGGTCTACCCTATTATGAAATCCTATCTGACTATATGGGATAATAAAAATTCTATGTTGCTCCTTAGAACCCAAATAGTACACCCTACTCAATAAAAAGAACCGCACTAATAAAGTAAACATTGAAAATTTACTGATTTTTTATACGTTTTTAAAAATATAACGTAAATCGTAAAGGGCTATGTATGTCCTGTTTATGTAAATTGTCGAGACTCGAGACTCCGAGGCCGAGCGGCGGAATGATTTTTTATACTTTTTGTTAAAAAAAAACATTTGTTTTTATAAACAAATATTAAACTTTGTTTGAATGTCACACTGGATCTATTTGCGATATTTATAAAAAAAAGAAGGTAAATAGGTGTAATGGCGAACATGAGTATAAACTAACCACAACAACGACTTGACTGTCAGGTTGATTTAAAACACAACACACATTAGGAAACACAACTAACCTCAACACAGACTACTTTAGGCTGCCTTTCAAAAGGTACTATAAAACACTATAGCCCTCTCTTGTTTCACTCCGGCAATGCTTTTGCGACATCCCCGTGCGTTAACAGCACGTTCTGCTAACTTTGCGCAGCTAACTGACGTATTGCGCGCCAGTTACTGCCAGGTATATGGTTTTACACTCGTGTGCTTTGTATGTTTTCTTCTGCTTTGAGCACGGCACGTGTATACAAGAACATTGGTCGATACTCTCTTGCGTGAATATCAGTCAATTCACTCCTGACTTAAATCTGTCAATACTTCTGGTATACGTACGCCATTGGCTGCTATCTAATTCTAGTCGCAACCCGCTCTTCATATGTCACTAAAAATAATGGGTTTAACCAAGTGCAACTATATCTGCGATTGATTCCGTGCGCTGCCAATATACACACACTGAATATATATA